TTTGCGGAACCAGGGGTTGAACTCAGACCCTTGTGCTTGCCAGGGAAGCACTTATTCCACTGAGCCATCTCCTGGGCCCCTTGTGTTAACATTTTTAATCTTATGTCAAATAATATTTTTTTAGGCACGAAGCATTGAATGTGAAGTTATAAAAAAAGATAAGCAAATGAAGATACTGGAAAACAAGGTATTTTCTAATTTTAAAAAAATGTTTGGGAACATAAAATTTTGAAGTGCATGACTGAATACTGGTAAATTTATTTATTTATTTTACTATATCTCTGGCCATGATTGGATTCTTGAAGGGCAGGCCTTTTTATTATTTTACGTGAAGAAATTCACTTTTCTCTTCCTTGAACCTCTCTGCACACTTATGTAAACTTGACCTTATATATAATAATCCTCTGGAATGTATAGTTCACTTTCAAGAAATTGTGATTTCTAACACTATTTTCTTTTACTAGGGTGTTCTTATAAAATTCTTTGTTTCTGTGCTCACAGATTTTTCTAGAAATGAATTGTGAGAGTTAAAGACTTTTTCAAGAATTTCTAGTCATTCTTCCAAATACATTTTAAGTATCTTTAAACTTTTAAAAAGAACTATTTTAGGAAAAAAGATATAGCCCTAAATTTGAAGATTTATATTTAAGGGATGCAAACATAATTTTCAGTGCCTTATACAGAAAGAAGAAAGAGTGTGGGATGGTTGGAGTGGGATGGGGCAATCAAAACATCCAAAACTAATACCTCTTATAATATGTTAGTATAAATATGCACATGTTTTATACTGTAGCAATGTCAGTAAAGATGATTTGTAGGAAAAGATAGCAGGATAAGCTGCTTGAAGAATAGACGACTAAGAAATACATGCAAAACTTGCTCTGACAAAGTAACAAGTATTTTGACAGTGTCTTGGAAGGGCTGGCAAGAAAGCTCAGCAGGTGAAGCACCCACTTAGGCAAGTGTATTGACCTCGTGTTAGATTCCTGGTGCCACATGCTGTGTTGCCCCTGCCCCTGGGTGCACGGAGCTAGCCACCAAGACTGTGCATGGTGGCACACACCTGTTATCCCAGCGCAGGGGAGGCTGAAAACAGGTGGTAGATCACTATAAGTCCTAGCTGCATAGTGAGACCCTGTGCTAAACACATTAAAAAAACATTGTCTTGGGATGATAGTCTTTAAATATGATCATTTATTTGGTAAGAGCAAAAGTCCTTGATTTTCTCTGAATAGTTTTGTTTATTTTTTGTATTTTAGTACAGAGTTTACAGGGTCTACAGGGTCTCACTATGCAGATCTGACTCCTAGTTTGTTTTTTTATTTTTATTTTTTATTTGGCAGAACCGGGGATTGAGCTCAGGTCCTTGCACTTGTCAGGGAAGCGCTTATTCCATTGAGCCATCTCCCTGGCCCCTATCTGACTCTAGTGATTTGCCTGTTTTCACCCTCCCAAGAGCTGGGATTAGAGGTGTGCGCCACCATGCCCAGTCTCAGTTGCTGTCTCAGCACACCCCTGGGGCAGGGCCACCATGTGAATAGTTTTAAATTTCAATTAAAGTTTGTATTATTAGAAATTGTAGTTAATGTTTTTTCAAAGCAGCTCAGCTGTCTTCTATGGTCTCCTTGCTCAAACAAGCAGTTTTAAATCTAATTTCTTTAAATATTTGGGGTTACATTCCTGGAGTACCTTCAAATTATGAAAAAATGCAAATATCAGATATGGTGAGAAAACTTATAAATGCTTATTTTTATTGTTTAAATGCTGAGTCTCCCATGCTATTTAACTCAGTAAAATATTAATAAAGTCATGGGTACATGACATTTTGGTTGTATCTTATTGATCCTAAGAATTGAAAAACAAAACTGAGAGCCCTCAAGATAGCTATACACAGTACAGCAACCTGTTATGTGAAAGTGCTGGTGCATCTGTTGGATATGAGTTAGGTAGGGTAGAAATCAGTATCAAGAACTGAATAACACTCTTGAATTGGCTACTTGAAAACCTCCTGGCAAAAAAACCCCCCAATTGCCAAGGATATTTGCAGTTTCTGTAAAATCGTAGGAGTTAACAAACATAGTTAGGTTCTAAGGAAAAGTCTGTGAATGAGGCCATGAAGTCTGAACTCAACTTTGTGGGGGGTATGCTGTATATGTATTACATATTCCATGTCTGACAAAGCGCTGTCTGAAATCTTTCTGGGTCTGATTTTGTGCTTTGCATTTTCTTCTGATTTTTACATGTTGAGCCTTATTTTGAAATTTTTATGACTTGTTTTCTTGGAGTTTTATCTGTGGGAATTTTTTAGACTTGTGAGGAAGTTGCTATCTCACCCAGAATGTTTTCTTGAAACCACTTCTAAACAGAGGCCATTTAAAATTAATTGCTTGATTTGTAGTTTTTTGGATTATACAAGTCAGCCTGTGAAGCGATATAAGGATACCTAATGGTTACAGACTTTTTCAGGGAGGACTTCTTTTCACTTAGTACCAAAGTAAAAGAAGTTCCCTTACTGTACCCTTCTCTGTAAAAGATTTATTTCTTGCTTTTCTTCTCACTGACCTCTAGTTTCTGGTTTAATGTGAGCTTGTCTTACTGGATTTTTACATTTAGGGGACTGTAATTTTTGTCTCATGTTTTTGTCATCCTGTTTGGGATTCTGCAGATGTTTTTAGAACAAGTGCTGGCTTGTGTATTAACCTGAAACCTTAGTATCATTTTATCGTGCTAACTTTAATCAAATTCTTTACTTATAAGCATTTTATGTTAAAATAATTATCAGGAAGCTCATTCAGGGCTTCATATTAGTATTTTTTCCACCAACAATGGAAAGCTTTATTTTAATTTATTTATTTTATTTTTTTCCGCAACTGGGAATCAAACTCAGGCCCTTGTGATTGCCAGAGAAGCGCTTATTCCACTGAGCCATTTCCCTGGCCCCGAAAACTTTTATTTTTAAAGTAAATAAAATTATTCAAAAAATTTTACATGCTGCTGTGTTCTTATGAAATTCATGTGAAAGTCAGTGAAATGTTTATTATTGCTTTTTAAAAGCGTTTCCTTTTGCGTTTTCTGAAAGAGACCCTCTGTAGGTAAACATCTCAGAAAAGAGAAAGGGGAAAAAAATGAGTAAGGAAGAAGACAAATTATTCTTAGCTCTAGCATCTGCTTTTCATTAGCTATTTAATAATGTAATTCAGTCTTCTGTATAGAGTTGACCACAGAGCACATTTATTTAAAATAGATGAATTTATGTCATTTAAGTAGATTAATACTAAGAATTTCAAGTTTATATGGTAAACTATGAAAATATGTAACTTTACATAATTTTTTACATTAATGGAATGAACACATGATTTGAAGTGAGCTTGATGTTTATGCAACATCTGTATTGTCTGAAATTGTTTATTTTGTTCAAAATTAGCTAAAAGCTAATTTCTCAATTTTGTAGTGTAACAATTTAAGGAAACAAGTTGAAAATAAAGGAAAGTATATTGAAGAGCTTCAGCAGGAGGTAGGTACTGTTTGTAACTTCTCAATATCAAATATTTTTGCCTTAATTTTAGAGAATAATACTTTGTTTTCTAATAATTTAAGCCAGTGGCAGTTATATAAGTTTAAAATCCTTAATGTTAAATATGATTCTGTCTTTGACTTGTTACAGAATAAGGCCTTGAAAAAAAAGGGTGCAGCAGAAAGCAAGCAACTGAATGTTTATGAGATAAAGGTATTTAACTGCTTTAGTTTAAAAAAATACTCAAATACATGAGACTTTAGAAATGTACCATTTATTCATTATATTATAACCGTTACTTTCAACGATAACTGTCTTTTTGGGAGATCAGTCCATAGGTATGCTATAATGTTCACCATTGTGATACAGGCAGTTAAAAATCGTTTAATCTAGGCTCAGAGGAATAAGCACTTCCCTGGCAAGCGCAAGGGCCTGTGTTCAATCCTTGGTTCCACCAAAAAAAACCCAAAAAACCATTTGATCTCCTTAAAAGTATATGTGTGAGTTCTATACATGTGTTCATCTTCTTTATCCATGCATTGTAAAATGAGATAAGTTTGAAATTTATATTTAAAAAAGATTCAGATATGATTATCCTGCTGTGCAGGGATTTGAAAACTATCAGCTTTGTATAAAACAATTTACTTTTGTAGCCTCAAATTGAAGACAAAACAGATGTTTATCAATAGTATGAATATCAGCCAATAAAAAGTCACCCTAGGGACTGGTGAGATGGCTCAGTGGTCTAAAGCACCTACTTAGAACAAGCTTAGCAAATCACAGGGACCGCGGTTCAATCCCTCAGCACCACATGCCAGCCAGCCCCGCCCCCTGGTGGGCTGAGCTGCCCCCCCCAAATAAATAAAATTTAAAAAAAAGTCACCCTAGGATAACTCAAATGTTAGAATTTTTTGTATATTTTTCAGGCAGCTTTGTAAAAAACATATTCAGAGATAGGAAAATATAATGATAGAATAGATGAGGAATCTTAGTGAAGAAACAGACTTAAAAAGAATTTAAAAAAAGGTCTAAAGCTGAAAAATGAGTTAAACCAAACCATGCCACGCCATGCCACAGTTCTGTGTGTTCCTAAAAGTACATTGAGACAAATGAATAATATGTCAGTGAAATTGAAGCTAGATAAGGAGAAATTGTCTAGCTAGAGGAATACAGAAAAGTTTTTTTTTTTTTTATTTAAAGAGAGGACTATCAAGTGATTTTATTTTATTTTATTTTTTGGCGGAACCGGGGATTGAACTCAGATCCTTGCGTTTGCCAGTCAAGCGTTTATCCTACTGAGCCATCTCCCCGGCCCCTATCAAGTGATTTTAAATGTATAGAGTCCCTGAGAAAGTGAAAGAATGGGGCAAAGAAAATTACTTAAAGAATTTCTAAGATAAGTCTTGCTTTAACATTAACTTGAAGATCTATTGCCTTCAGCAAATTCAAAGCAATATTTAAAAAAATTATATATAGGCAAGTATATCTTGGACAAAGTTAAAACAAGGTAAAGAAAATTTTATCAGGCAGTGAGAAATGTCACACTGTAGAATAGTGACACAACAGATGACTGAGTACATTGCAATCCATATGACAAAATGACGTTTGTAAAATGATGAAATAAACAATCAGTCCAGAATTCTGTACACAGCAAAAATAGCTCTTTTTTTTTTTTTTGTGAAACCAGGGATTGAACTCAGGCCCTTGCGCTTGTCAGGGAAGCGCTTATTCCACTGAGCCATCTCCCTGGCCCACAAAAATAGCTTTTTAAAAATGAGTTTAAATTATGATTGGCGCTACAAGAAATGCTGAAGGAATTTTTTTCAGACTAAAGGAAAATGACATCAGATGTAAACTTGGAATAGTAAAACAAATGGAAAGCATTGGAAATGGTAAATGTGTACATGAAAGCTACATATTTTTCTTTTTTCTAAATTTTAAAAGGATCTATACTGCTACATTATTTCAAGATGAGGGCTGGCGAGATAGCTCAGTGGACTAAGCACCTGCTTTGGAAAGCATAGATAGGGACTGGGATTTGATCCAGGAGGATCAGTATGAGTAAGAGCTGCCTAGTGAAACCCTGTTCAAAGAACGAACATACAATTAAAATGAAAAATAGACAAATCCATAATCATAGTTGGAGATTATAAAATCTTTTCAACAAGTGAAAACATCTTTTAAAAATTTTTTAGGGATATAGAAAATCTGAACAGCACTTTTCAGTTACCTTGATTTAATAGACATTTATAGAATTCTAAACTGGAAGGTATAAATTTTTTAGAAATGCATATAGAATGTTTATCCTAAAGATAGAACAAGGTCAGGGGTAGGAAACAAATCCTCATACAATTCAAAAGTGTGAAGTCTCACAGACTATATTCTCTTTCTATCATAGAGTGAAATCAGAAGTAAGAAAATGTAAAATATTAGAAACGTGTATCTGTTAGAAAATGAAAATAATTAGAAAATAACTCAGGGCAAAATCAGAAATTATTGTAAATGATAATAAATATTAGTAGAATGCCAGTGAAGGAAATTTGTAGGTTTGAATGTTTATTTTAGGGGAGCTTTATTTTTTGTTTTTGGTGTTGACTGAACCTAGGGCTTCCAACTTGCTAGGCAAGCTTTATACCACTGAGCCAAATCTCCAGCCCCTAAATGTTTATTTTAGAAAATAAAAAATGATTTAGGTTTTTGTCTAGAAACTTAAAAGGAGTAAATTAAATCCACAGAAAATAAAAAGAAATAAAGACATGGGAGATAAAGTAGCAAAATTTATTCTTTCAAAATGTTAAATTGATTAGCTCCTAACACATACATAGGACAATGGGAAAAATAAAGACTTCTCAGTGTAGATACTATAACCATTAAAAGAGTAGCAAGGGAGTGTCACAGAATAATTCATGCTAATAAATTTGAAAGTTAGAGACAAATTTCTTATTATGAGTTGTCATAAAAAAGTCTCCTAAGTAAAAATTTGGATCTAGAACTGAATGTGGTGGCGCATACCTGTAATACCAGCAGTCTGGGAGGCTGAGATATGAGAATCTCAAATTCATGTCCATTCTGGGCAACTGTAAAGTTGCTTAGTGGGACCCTGATTCAAAATAAAAAAATAAATAAATAAAAATGGCTGGGAATGGAGCGCAGTAGACTAGGTTCAATCCTCAGTTCTCTCTCTCTCTCTCTCTCTCTCTCTCTCTCTCTCTCACCCACCCCCACACCCACACATAAAAAAACCTTGATCTGGACAGTTTCACTGGTGAATTCTATCATATGCTTAAGAAATAACACTCTTCTGCAAACTTCCAGAAAAACGAGAACATTTTTAAAGTTTTTTGATACCAAATATCAATATATTCCAAGAAAATAACAGCATCCTTATGAGTATAGATATAAAACTTTTAATAAAATTTTAGTTTATTTTAGTAATACATTAAACAGGTGGGCTTTATTTTAGCAGTCTAAGGTTATTTTAAAATTGAAAATATTGGTGTAATCTGTCAAGTAGTGTAAGAAAAAAATCATCTAAATGATTTCAGTAGTTGCAGAAAAGCATTTGACTTCCATAAAATCATACACGAAAGTTAAATTCTCTAGAAGAAAACCTGGAAAGTGTTCATGAGATCAGCAAAGATAGTTTAAAGATACCATCATTAAAAAGTCAGATAAATTAGACCATGAGAATTTGAAAGATCTACTTTTCATTAAGGTTTGGGAAATCTGGCTGTTGATATGCAGAATATTGAATATCTTATGTGCTAAACTAAACAAAAAATATATCCAAGATCTCAGTGTTGAAACAGACACTTAATGTGGTGAAAGACAAAATAGATAAAACTCTTGAAGACAGACATAAGTAAGGAAGGGCTTTTTGAACAGAACCCCAGTAGCATTAGGAAGAGTACCAATAATCAACAAATGGGATCATATTAAACAGCTTATGCACAGAAAAGAAAACAACCAATAGAGTGAAAAAACAATCTTCAGAATGAGAACAACTCAAACCCCACCCATAAATAAGAGATCCAATCAAAAAATGGGCAATTGAAAATGAATAAACACTTCTCAGAAGGAAAAAGCATGATAAATATATAAAAGAACGTTAAGTATCTCTGACCAACAGAGCAAGGCAAATTAGCACTGAGGTTCCATCTTAATTCTGAAAGAATAGCTGTCATCAAATCAGTAACAAATGTTGGCAAGGCTGTGGCAGGGCACTGGGGTGAGGTGGGGGACTTCTGCATGGGTGAGAATGTAATCTAGTACAACCACTATAGAAATAAATATGGATGTTCCTTGAAAAAGTAAAATTAAAATTTCCATTTGACCCAGCTATTGTCTTAGGTATTTTCCCAAAAGAGTTAGACATCATACAGCAGTGATACATTTATATCCATGTTTATAGAAGCACAACTTGGAATAACTAAATCTTTAAACCAGCGTACATGTCTACCAATAGATGAATGAATAAAGAAAATAGTATTTACACACAGTGGAGTATAGTACTGTTTTGTTATAAAGGAGTATAATTTTGAGTCACTTAAAGAAAATAGATGAATCGCAAAAATCATAAGGTTAAGAGAAATAGCTGAATCAGTTATATAAGCTTCCAAGGCTTTAATATGAGAAACACAAATATGAGCAAAATAAAACAATAGGTAGTAGAAAATCAACAGTGATATTGTATATTGTTATCTGAAAGTAGTCGTTAACAAGCATGCAAAATTGGTAAACTTTTTTTAAAATTAAGTATTATCTCTTCCTTTCACTAAACCAACAGAAATTAGTAGTACAATGATCTTAGCTACCTTTGTATGTGTGTATATACATATACATATTCTTATTTTCTTTCCTTCATCTCATTTGTTCTTTCCTTTTTAGCAGTTTCTTACCCTTTCACAATATCTATTGTACTTTTTGGATTTTATTTACTCTTTCAATATCTTAAGCTAGGGAGACAATACTATGATTTCACTGGTGAATATGGTCTGTAGTTTCATCCATTTGCCTATTAAAAAAACCCTTGAGTTTATCTTTATAGCTGAGTAGTACTCCACTGTATAAAAAATACATCTTTTTTTTATCCATTTCTCAGTTGATGGGCATTTGTGTTGGTTCCAAGATTTAGCTATGATAAATTGTGTTGCTCTAAACATAGGTGCACATATATTGCTGTGTTATATTTTTAATTCTTCTGGGAAAATACT